TGGGAGGGTGGAAAATTAATTAAATATTAAATGCCAGGCGGCGGAATCGGCGCTTAAAGCGGGCCGAGTAAAATAAAATAAAATAAAATAAAATAAAAAAAAACCGGCGGAGACGGTTTTGGGAAAAATTAATTAATTAATTAACGGTAAACAGAGGAAAAGCGAAATAAGAGGGTCGAAAGGGAGGAGGTGGCGGAGAATAAAGCCGCTTCAAAATTGTAATTTCTTTAATTACGGATGTCCGGTAATCATCTAAGTCTTTGGAATACTCGAGATTTCATTTCTGTCTTGCGTGTAATGAAGTTTCGCTAGATGATCGAGCCACGAGAAATCTAGCGTTAAATGATAGCCAACAAATAGAGAAAACCACTCGGAGTACTTTCGACGCGAATATACACCTTCCAATAGAAGAGTAAACTCATTTAAAAGGGGAAATTTGTCTAAAGTACTTCGGGGAACGGAATTTGACAATCCCTCCGCAGCACCAATAACGTCGCAATTCCTAACAGATTAATAAAGATTCGCACACGCGGAATTAAAGAAAAGGGAGGGGAAAAAAAATCCGCATTACTGGATCAGGGGAGGAGGAATAAAAAAAAAAGAATTTTATAGTAGGAACCAACCTATCAATTATTAACTGTGCCTTGTTTTATTATTCCTGTTTCGTTTCACAATTTTGGTGTTAAGAAATCTGTTTAAAGGACATCAAAGTATCAACCTCGTGTAAGATTTAAACCCCCCCTTTTTTTGTGTGTGTGTGGTTCGCGTGAAGAATATTAAATTTTAAGAAAGTCTACGCCTTAAAAAATCTCTAAAACCAATTATAAAGTATCAAACTTTTAATCAACTTTCGTAGCAAACAAGAAGCATTGCCCTCTCTGATCTCACTCCTCTCTATTACAGCACTAAATGACACCATCCCTTCTAAACTCCAAAGGCTAAAGAAAGCAGAAAAATCGTATTAGAGACAAAAAGAAGAGGTAAATAAAAAAAAAAATGCCGTCCATTATAGCTTCACTCAGCATGCAAACACTTTATCTCCTTGCCAAACGGAGTACATCATTAAATTTAAGCTGTCGTCGTCACAAAATGACCTATTCCTTCAAGCACATGCTTTACTTACTGTTTTGGCCGCAGTCGAGCGCTTGTTTCGACATCACGTGTCATGTGATCGAGTAGCCCTTTTTTTTTCCACCTCCTCCTCTTCTTCTTCCTCTCCTTCTCTACCTCCTCCCAGTTATTAATGTGTCGTTAAGGGGCTTCTGATATCTTCTCCTTCTCGACGATTTTAGCTAATTGCAATATCATCAACCTTTGTTCCTCTACTTACACGTTTCGTTGTTTATGCCGGAGGTTCCAATTTTGGGGAAGGGTGGGCTCTTTTGTTATCTTAAAAAAAATATAGCCTATATATATATATATATATATATTTTTAGTTGTTACAATACAAAAATGTGGAAGGATCTCTTCTAATGTAGTGGGTNCCGGCCGGTCGAATTCGGGTCTTATCGCGGCGGGAACGCCCGGTTTTGGCGAGCAAACTACCACCTCGTTCCATTAGTTTTATCTTAGATCCTCGGTCGATAATCTTACGTTAATACGTCTTTGATCTCGTTAAATTTCTTATTGCGGTTTTACGTGTAGTCGAATTCTGGGTACCGTCTTTTTAATTAGACTGTGATTTTAATTTAAAGTATAGTAGGTGTCATTTTGTGTGTGTGTGTTTTCAGAGCTTTTGCTTACCTTAAATACAGACATCTTTGATCGTTCTATTTGTGCCAACAACTGTTGACACGAATGGAACAATCCAGAATTTGTAACTTGTCATGTCGGAACAGCCAAAGACGAACAGAGGTTCGAGAATGCAGTAATGTTCTGGAACTATATTTATTCTTACCTGTGTTTTGTCGAACCTTTTTGGATCTTTTAACATATTTGTCTCTGTGAATGCATAATTTTAAAAAATTCTTTCAGCAGATTAAAAGTCGTAGTCAAAACACAAATTACTCGTTTAAAAACTGCTCTTCAGTCATTTTGTTCTTAATTCTGAAAATGATGATAAATTTTAATAAAGATATGATTAGAGTAAATACATTTGTGTGAGTATTTTGAAGAATAATAGTCATTTCTTGTAAATGTGAAAGATTAAATAAAAACTATATTGAACTTTTTTAAACTTTCAAATGTCTCGTATACAAAAACAAGATATTTATTCAAATTACTGTACAATGTATTTATCTTTAATTCTAAAATTGTTATTTAGAATTATTGCTTTTTATATTAAATACATAATTGTAACGCAAAACTAAGTTCCTTAATGTTACTAAAATCCAAAGTCTTAACTATTTTAGTTTGTAAATTTTCAGTAGGGCACCCGGAGATGGATCACGTCCTCTAAATTGTCGAAACACTTCACTAGAATGTCGTCCTCCGCCCACAGACAAGAAGGTTTCGCGAAACCTAAAAGAAAGAAAAGAATTTATATTTATTTTTTATTTTTTCCCCTCCTTTCGGAGGAGGAAAAAATCTTTAATTTCACACCGGTTAATTTTAATGGTTTATTTTAAAGTAATTTAAATGAGAATTCGATCTGTCTTTCCCGATATGTTGTTTGATAGACACTTCGTCGAGAGAAACTTCAAAAAAAAAAAAACTCGACAGTTGTTTTTGTAATTAAAGTCGCATCGCCGGTTTATCTTTTTTTTAATGCCATAAATTAAAAAAAATAAATAAAGTGGAAAAAACGCGGTTCAAATTAGTTTATTTCCATCGATCGCCCGCGGCCCGAGTCCGTCGTCCGACTTCTTAATTACCGTTAGAGTCGATTGGCATTCGGGTTCGACGATTCGAGTCCGGGCGCGTGGGGGGGGGAATTGCGGTCGCGCGCCCTCTCGTTATCCGAACGGTAGGTCCCGACATCAATTTGCCGCGGTAAAATATGCCCGTATCCGGTTACGTGCGGACGTGACGTATTGGCCGCCGACCCGAAATTGGCGCGTCCCGTCTTCCACCCCAAATAACTTTTTTTTTTTTCTTTTTCTTTCGTCTGGTTTGACTTCTTCTATTGTTTCCCGGCTTTTAAAGCGTCCTCTTCGCCCTCCAAAGTGTCTGGCGTATTTACTCCTACCCTTAAATTTATAACCCGCCGGTAGATTTTGTTAGTGTCTACGCTATATTAGTACAGGCCAGTTTCCGGTGTTTGCGGTAACAGCCGCAACTAGTTGTGTACGCGGTGGTTCCTAATGACGAAAAATTTGGGGCGTTATCTCCGAAATCGGGTGCGGCTCGACCCAGTATTTCCTTCCTTTGTAATATAATTATTACAATATCGAACTTTTCGCCAATCTTCCGTTTCCCCGGGCCTAAGAATGACGTCTCGACGGACGAATTCCCGACGAGATTCAAGTGTTGCCAGACTATTATAAGTTAAAATTCGAAAATTGATGTTAAATATTTTTCTATATTTTTTTATTTATTATCTATCAGATTTGTGGATAAAGCCGGGGCAACGTTTTCCGACAAACTATTGATTATTATTAAGTTCGGTCTAACCTGTAAAGTTTCTAAATGTTTTTTTAAGAAAAAATATTTTTAAACTACCTAACGTAGTTCCTATTGGAAGAGGCTGGTCAAAAGGTGTCGCCATCTAGTACGTGATCGGGAAACTAATTTTGGTTATTAAATTAAAAATTAATTAATTATTACATTAGAATTACTTTTTCTCTTTGAAAGCGGTTAACAAACTCGATACGTAAAATTTGGTAATGGTTTGCGTAGAAAAAAAAATGCGAATTAAAATTATTTAAATTAAAGCAGACAAAGGGATGGTGGTGGTGATTTGTTGACCTTTAACAATTAATAAGTTTTAATTGTTTTTTATATATAGAAAAAATATAATGCTTTACCAGAAAATCTTTTGTGCTAGTAAAGTTAATTGGAAATGCATTGTAGAGTGTGATTCGTTAAAAGCAAATAAAATGAATGTCATTAATTTCCACGTGGAAGAAAAGGTTATTGACTTGTCATTTATGTTACTTCTCGACGGTTAAATACAAAGAAGTGATGAATGCGAGAGTTTACGTGTCGGAGACGACGGATATTAACGATGGTTATTGATTGGCGCCGCTCCACCCCTGCCGCTCCGAGAGACTGCTCGGACGTCCCCGCGTGCCACTCTCTATTTAATGACTGTTAAATTATTAAATGCGTGATAAATTAATTAGCTTTTTGAAAGATACGGTTCGGCGTCTTCTCTCCTCCTAAACGGTCGGCCCGGACGCCGCGCCTCCGGGATGTCCCGGTCCGCCACTTTTTTAGACCGGCCGGTCGAATTCGGGTCTTATCGCGGCGGGAACGCCCGGTTTTGGCGAGCAAACTACCACCTCGTTCCATTAGTTTTATCTTAGATCCTCGGTCGATAATCTTACGTTAATACGTCTTTGATCTCGTTAAATTTCTTATTGCGGTTTTACGTGTAGTCGAATTCTGGGTACCGTCTTTTAATTAGACTGTGATTTTAATTTAAAGTATAGTAGGTGTCATTTTGTGTGTGTGTGTTTTCAGAGCTTTTGCTTACCTTAAATACAGACATCTTTGATCGTTCTATTTGTGCCAACAACTGTTGGCACGAACGGAACAATCCAGAATTTGTAACTTGTCATGTCGGAACAGCCAAAGACGAACAGAGGTTCGAGAATGCAGTAATGTTCTGGAACTATATTTATTCTTACCTGTGTTTTGTCGAACCTTTTTGGATCTTTTAACATATTTGTCTCTGTGAATGCATAATTTTAAAAAATTCTTTCAGCAGATTAAAAGTCGTAGTCAAAACACAAATTACTCGTTTAAAAACTGCTCTTCAGTCATTTTGTTCTTAATTCTGAAAATGATGATAAATTTTAATAAAGATATGATTAGAGTAAATACATTTGTGTGAGTATTTTGAAGAATAATAGTCATTTCTTGTAAATGTGAAAGATTAAATAAAAACTATATTGAACTTTTTTAAACTTTCAAATGTCTCGTATACAAAAACAAGATATTTATTCAAATTACTGTACAATGTATTTATCTTTAATTCTAAAATTGTTATTTAGAATTATTGCTTTTTATATTAAATACATAATTGTAACGCAAAACTAAGTTCCTTAATGTTACTAAAATCCAAAGTCTTAACTATTTTAGTTTGTAAATTTTCAGTAGGGCACCCGGAGATGGATCACGTCCTCTAAATTGTCGAAACACTTCACTAGAATGTCGTCCTCCGCCCACAGACAAGAAGGTTTCGCGAAACCTAAAAGAAAGAAACTAGTTTAGGGGAAAATATTTCAAAAGAGTTGTGGATATAGTAATGAACTTNGTAGGGCACCCGGAGATGGATCACGTCCTCTAAATTGTCGAAACACTTCACTAGAATGTCGTCCTCCGCCCACAGACAAGAAGGTTTCGCGAAACCTAAAAGAAAGAAACTAGTTTAGGGGAAAATAGTTCAAAAGAGTTGTGGATATAATAATGAATATATGTATATAGTAATGAACTTATTATCATGTTAATAAAATAATTACATTATTTTTTATATAACTTTTTAGATGTATAAATAATGCATAATGACAGAAGAAATTATACTGAAGAAACGTATCAGGTATTTGATATTTCAAATATTATTTAAGGTAAAATTTCAGTCATATAATGCCAAAATGCTAACACAATGTTGAAGAACTGATTCAATGCTTATTATTGTTTCTATCAGTTATAATAGACTTCTGACAATTATGTCATTGTTTTTGAATAATATCTGATTTCATACATTAAATTTTAATGTAGTTATACTCATTTAATGAATAATCTTGAAACTTCGCTCTCCAATCCAAATTTTTTAATTGATAAACTTATAAAAATAATTGCAAATTTTAGTTGTTTATAAACTAATGTTACATACCTTCTACCAATTTCTTTGATTTGTTTTTTATTATCTAATCCAACTTCCCAAAAAGCACTGAACACGTCTGCTGCAACCATCTGGAAGAAACAAAACACATTAATAACAAGTAAAAAAGTATTAAACATTTAATATTGTGTATATATTTTAAATACAAATATATAAGTTTCTTCCTTGCCGAAAATCTTAACTAAAGTACACTAAAACTGTTCGTCTCTTCTTATATAGAAAAATTAACTTTTGCACCAACCTCTGACCACAGAAAAGAAAAGTACGAAGCAGGAAATTCATCACAGAATATCTCTCTGAAAGAACAAAGGTGATTATCATGTTGATCGAACGGCAACGGCATGTAGCACATCCACACGTGTCTGGAGATGTCCAACCAAAAATCTCTCCTGAAACAATTTGAAAAATTAAATATAATTTCCTTAATACACTTTTATATTATAAAGTTATTCCAAGGATCAGAGTGTACAATTTCCAGGAATATAACAGATTAATTGATAATCAGACAACTGTTAAATATCTTGCATGTTGACTGGTAGAAACTTAAACTGAATACATATTTTCAAAAAATCTTGAACTAAAGTTTTGAAATATAGTTGAATATAGTTCATTGTATATGAAATATACAATGCACAAAGTTTCCATACATTAATATACAATTGGGACTATGTAAAACATACAGTTTCATTGCTGTTACCAAAATTCCAAATAGAAGTTGAGTCACCTTTGTACAATGCTGTAATATTAACAAATAATAATTTGATATGATGGATTAAAAGAAGGAAAACACTGGTCTAATAATGCAATTGCCCATTGCAATCTGATCAACTATAAAACTAACTATAATAAGTAAGACAAACAGCCTTTGTTGTAAATATTAAGAATACAGACATCCAATTATTAGTGAGCAAATAATCTGCACACTAATAGTTGCAGCATAATATTCTCAAACGTTTTCGTTTTGACAGATGCTTTGATCCATTGTTCCCAAAATCTGTTAAATTTTAATAATCAGTAATAGACATACAATGTTAAAGAATCAACAGAAAATATTTCTGTTGATCAGAAAAAATCATTTGAACATAAATAATTATAAGTTAGCAACAGAATTTATAACTTACTTAGAATATAACTCCAAGTCCAAAGCACTCTTGTACAATTGTTCTGCTAAGGTATAACCTGCCATGTGGATTCGATCTAAAATAAAATCCTTTGATCATCTTGCATTCAAATCTTGAAAAATTTATCATTTACACATGTAAGATGTACACTTGCACATCTTAAAATGTGCATTTACCTGACTGTAATTTATTGTGAATGTCTTGTGGGAGCGGACTTCCGTCGTTGACGTGACCACTTATAGAAGCCACGGTGTCGTAATGGTATAACCAGTGGACCATGAAATTTGAACAGACATCCACAACGTCCCACTCTAAATTAGTCATGCCGGCTATTTCGTTATATGGAGCCAATGTTAATGAATGTTGAATTAAATGTCCAAACTTTGCAATAATGAGAAAAACTGTCACATTTACTTTGTAAATCTAATATATGAAGAAATTATAAAATAAATATACCTTTCTGAATAATGTTTGAACATCTTGGAATGATAATAAAGACGGTCTGTTTGGTAATGGTCGGGGAAAATTGAAAATTAAATATGCAAATGGAATTGTACCGACGATGCTACTTCTATCTAAAATGCAAAAAATAATTAATGAGTATGCTAAATTGTAAGATAAAAATTGCATTTTAATCTAAAATTATTTCTTTTATCTGATCTTTAGTTACTTTGTCCAACTTCCATCCACGATCCATATAACTTTTCTGGTATCCTCATATACGGATCCAAGTAGAAGAATGCTATCGAATTCCCTGAGCAAAACAACAAAATAATTATTTATTTTAAAAGTGTTATTGAATTTAATTAATCTATAACATTAATACTGTTACGTTATTAATTAATCTATGTTGAGAAAACACTAGGGATTGCTGAACATGTGTGTAGGGGAAGGGTATATGATGTAAGACGGAAGAGAGAGCTTATAATTCATAGAAAGACTTCCAAATAGCAAAGAAGTCAACGTTGCGATAATTTATGACCAAGTTATAGCGGTGGCCTTGTAAAATTCCACTTGTTCCAGATGTTTAAGGAAATATTGTTTAAATGCATTATGTAAGAGGTGTGTCTTGTGGAAATCTACCTGGACACATGGATTGGATGCATAGATAGCCAAAGCTGTATGCATCCAATCCATGGTTAAACCTTTTTTAATGGACATGTTGATGTTTTTTGAACATTTGATGTTTTTTGAGATTGTATATATTATGGGCAAGACGTAGCTCCAATGTATTGTAAGCAACAGTTGTAGCAATGATCAATGATGGGGATACTGTAGATGCCTGGTAGGTGGTACTTGTTAGGATGGTCTTTGGCATTCTGGAGGAGCGAGACTTCTGCGGAGGTTAACCAAAATTTGTTTCTTCGCTCTTTGTATACAGTGGTGAGGGTGTTGTAGGTAATGGTCCTGAACATTTTTTCTTCATTAGAGGGTTTAATTAGTTGGGTGGAGGCGGTGCTGGAAAAGGAAAATGTTCACGGGCGAAAACATTCTCAAAACCTAATTGTTGATTTTTTATAAGGTATTTTGTATACTCCAGATTGTTCTTTCTTTAGTTTGTCTTTATCATTTCTAAGTAAGTTGTAAATATTAGGAACTAATTTGTAAACTATCCTTGCATTTCTGTAAGTTGCCAGCTCATTTATAGTGCCACCCAACCACTTGTTCTATGTGAATTTATTGGTTCTATTGATGTTTTTTTGGCTTGTGATAGAATTGTGTTTTGTATGTACTGTATATGTCTGTGATTGTATTTTTCTGCCCATGGAGTGTTACTACTGTGAGTGCTCCAGCATAAACTAATGTATGAATGTCTGAGAGTGTAGAAATTAAATGGATGTAGTGTAGGTGTATACATACGTTAGTGTTTTTCCTACTACCTTAGATGTATTGATTTTTGGTATTCACGATATTTTTGTGGGATCTGGATCTTTATATTTAGTGAGTGTTTCCTGAAATAAAAGTGAGAGTGTATTAACTAAATCTATATCTATGTTATCAGTGGTGGAGGAGGAAGTATCTGTAGTATCATTAGTGGTAGTTGTGTGTGTGTGTGTGTGCGCGCGCACGTGCGTGCGTGCGTGCTATAATCAGTGCTTGTAGCTGGATTATCCTGATAGGTTACATGATTTTCATTAATGTTAAATGTTTCTGTCTGTTGATGTATTTGATCAGCAACCTGTTATTTGATAAGTTCAAGTGTTCTTTGTGGGATAAGGTTGTTGTGTATAATTGTTCTTTTTTGATCAACAACCCTTTGTTCAGTGACAGTGAGGTGAGGATATTGTTGTGTGAATCTATGGTGTAGTTGTTGTCTGTACGCTGTCATGTTTGTTTTGAGTTTTGTGATGATACAGTAAGTATGGATGATAAATGACTTTATCATCCATACTTACTACATCCAATGGAAATAAATGAGTTTATTTCCATTGTCCATTTCATCCATTGGCATGGTTTTCCAGTCTTTGTGGTCTGTGGATGCATTACCACAGAAACACCAAGGCTAGGTTGGTTCCTCACATCTCTTGAGGGCATTGCAGTAGCCATGCTTGGGCTAGTACTGCTTTTGCCACTGGCAACCAAAGGAGACTGTGGCCTATTTTTCGAACATGAGCCTCTGCCCAACCCATAAATATGGATCTTGTTAACCAGGGCAACATCTGAGCCTGTATCACACTTAGATCTGGTTACTACTGTGATAAAGACTTCCACAGAATGTGGATGTGGTCACTCTTAGCTTCATTTCTCCCCACAGACCTTACTGGCATGGGTGTCCCTACCAGGAGCTTGTGCTCCAGCCTGCATTGCCCTGTGGATCAATAAAATTACTGGGCTCTCTCATGGTCTCCTCCTGGTCGTGGTGGGAGAGTTATTATTATTATTATTATTATTATGACAAATTAGTTGTCTGCCTAACTTTAAGCCAAATTCTCTAGCTTAATCAATTTTCTTATGGCCCGATAACAGCTCGATTACATTAGGCTCCAGTTATATGTATTGCAATGGCAATGTTTACATTTTTCAAAATTAAACTATGCATGCATCCAAAAATGCATTATTTGATAAACCAAAAGTATAATTTAATAAAGTTAAGAGTGCTTTGAGTAACTTAAAAGCACATCCAACATCTTAAATATATATAAATTTAAAAATAATAACTTACCAGCATTATCGATAATTTCATAAAATTTGACATCTTCGTGCCAAGTGTCGACATCTGCAGTCTTTTCCTAAACATGGAATTACATTGTTAAATTTTAAAAACATATTGATTTACACTTATATTTAAAATTATAATTTTATAATACATTATACCTGTATCGTTATATCGAATAATTCACCAACAAATTTAAAAAGTCCATTCAGAACGACCGGAAGAGGAAAATATTGACGAACTTGAACCTCGTCGAAACTGCAAGATTAAAAGTTTATAACTCACTAAAGCACTAACAGAAAGAGTTAACTATTCTTTTTGAGATGTATAATGCAATAAACTTATATCCATGTAGATATAAAAAAGTAAAGAATGAAGAATTTAGCTTAATCTGTTTCTTATTATATAATTTTATAATATCAAGAAAGAATTTTCTCTAAATTTAATTTTTCACATCTCAACTTCATAATGGTAAATCTTATTATGTTATTAATTTTTTCAAAATTTTTATCACTCATCTACAATTAGATTATTAATAATAATTATTACAATTAAAATATATTACTGCATCCCTCAAAATTTCACTTTGGAAAAAATAGCATATGTCATTTTTTTTTCTTCAAAATAAACCATTACTGTATAACTATTTGTAAATATCTTGATGAATTTCCACTAATATAGCAGATTTGTCTGTTGATGTAAAGCTTGTGCAAATTAAAACTTTTGTGGTCGACTATAGTCTTAATTTGCAGGTACCTCAGAGTGGTGGACTAGAAATGCTCCGAGAGTCATACTTAAAGATTGATTCACACCAAGAGACTTCTCTTGGTGTGAATCAATCAATCTTTAGTGATAGTGTTAAAGACAGTTATTGTTGTAGATGCAATCCTGTTTTCAATAATGAAGTGTGTTGCTCTGATCTTGACAAAGTGCCAGATAAGTTTGAAGCTTAAATAAAAAACTGATGTCACTGTAGAATGTGGCACTGCAAATTTACCTGTATTAAAAGTTTTAATAATTCTTTGCCAAAACTTAGAACTGATGATGTGTCGAAAATGAAAATTTGAGAGAAAGCTCTATTTTGGGAAAGGGACAAAATAGAATATCACCATTTCAATTAAAGTCTAACTTAGACAGAATTAGATAACCTAATAAATAGGGTATAACAATTTGCAGGGCTTATCATGCCAAGGCCAACAGAAAGAAGGACCAGAACTTTTATAAAAAAGGGTTGGTCTTTAATAATCACATTTCAAATTTAGGTAAGTATGCATTTTGGGTACAAGGATCCCTCATCAGCTTACAAACACATGGTAACAACATAACAATTACAACACCAATACAATGGGATAACCAACATATGCAGTGCACTGCATTTACAATTTCTCAATGTAACCCATACACTAAAAACTAAAATACAGTAGAGCCTCGATTATCCGACCCCCGATTAACCGACACCTCGGTTAACCGACCGTCCTAGTCGGCAAATTTCAAATGTCCGCTAGTGATGTGGAGCTACAATATTTGGCTATGTCTTGGCTACTTTAATTTTATTTTTACGTGTTTTAGCTGGCAACACTGGATCGACCATGAAAGGGAGCCAGTATTTAAACGAGGCTTAATTTTCTAATTTTTAACAATACAATAGCGACGATTATTATTTTTAAAAAAAAATTTGATAGGCTTAACATGGAGAAAAATTCAACGTGAAGTAGGTTAATAGCGATATACTAATATACTAATTACATGGGATGTAATAATATACTACACTAATAATGGATTTTTTCATACTTTTTGGTTATCCGACTTTTCAATTATCCGACCAACCCCAGTCCCCAATTGGGTCGGATAATCGAGGCTCTACTGTATCAAGTATAAATTTGAATACAATGACAATGTGGTATAACATTTTATCTGGGACCAGTAAATGTCTTAGTTTCTCCTACATTTTCCAAATTCTGGTAGATGGTTACACTAATAATAATAAATATTGTTAAGTATATTAAAACACACAAAAAAGGAAGGAAGCTAACAATGAACTTACTCTTATTAAAACCAATTGGTCTTCAGATTTTAACACAAACAAAATACATGTTATACCCTATTTATTGGGTTAACTAATTCTGTCTAATTTATAGTCGTGGGCAAAAAGTGTTGTTTATTATTAAAATTTAACTGTTAACATTGCAACAAGTTGTAATGTTCACTTAAATGCCAGATTAAATGTGATTGAACACCAGGTTTGTAATCTCCCATGTTGAAAACAAACAACTTACAATGTTTGGAGAATCTTCTGTTTCCGGACAAATGCTTTGTGTGTCATTACAGTTACGTGTTGAATTCTACTTGTCAACGCGCAACATTTTCATTATGATAGCAAGTATATTGCATACTGCTTGCCAAGACAAAAATCTGTCATAATCGAATCATCCTTAAAGAGTCGACATTGGTAAGGACTGATGACGTGGTAATACAGCACTAATGTTGATGGTACTGTGACAACATATCTTGTTAATTGTCAGTCAGATTAAGTTGTGTATTCCAGTCAGACTGAATAAACTTATTAATTGGATGGACATTGATGTAATATGAATTATCCTTTCTAATATAAATACTTTTTATCATTTTTGAAAGGGTATAGTGATATTCTTTAATTTATTCACTCAATCTCTGAGTGATTAGAGAATGCACAAGTTTCATCACTAATATTTGAGTACCACATGCAGCTTACGAGCCACACTTTGTCTGCTGTTGCTACACGACTAACCATATGTCCATTACGAATGGATCTGACCAGCATCGGTAAGGAAACAGCAAATGATGCTTAAGTCCATACTATCTGTGATAATTATGGAAATCCAAATCAAATCTCCAGTTAGTAAATAGAACGGCATCTTACTATATAGCCATCTGGTTAATGTTTCTTTTAATAACTTAAAGTTTTGAAATCAATATTTCTAATAATTTGAACAGTTTTTAATTCTTTAAGAATTAAGATGCCAATATATTTATTATTTATAAAACTTTTATTCTTACCCTATACCCGTTCTGACCGACCCAACTGCAGATTGGGTTTCTCTGTAACAGACAAATCTGTGGTTGGCTGTGCAGTTTTATAAGCCTGCAAGTGTCTCCTATTAACTAATCAATCAATAGACTTTTATCTCAGTAATTGAATTAATTGTGACATTTGACTTATTTCTCTTAATTGAAATAAAGATATTTAGTAAGTTAATTAATTTTTTCACATAAAACACATGATATTTAAGAAAGATACCGACAACTTGGGAATCAAATGCCCAATAAAAATTGCAATGTTTCTGGAATAAGATTTTTAGTATTGTCATTGGATATATTTTCTACATAACTTTACTAGGGTGAAACTGCCTTAGGTGGCCAATTCCTTGCCCACTTCATCCACTTGTTCCCAAAACATAGATTATTAATAACAAAAATTTCATGTTGATTTAATCCACCCGCAAGAGGCCAACCCTCCCTCATTTGCTCAACCTCCTATGGGGTGGCAGTCCGACCCTCCCACCCACCCTTCACTTCATTCTCTCCTCAGCCCAACACCCATCCCTGCTTACTTTGCTCAACCTCCAGATCACTTCAAAGGCTTTGCTCACTTGTTCAAAAGTTGCATGATGATTCATCAATTCCCAGTGCTATTTTGTTTCCATGACAATTTTTAAGTATCATGTGTGTACATACAGTGGTGCCTCGTATAACAGATGCTGTGAACAACGGACTTTCGGTTCGGCAATTACGTGAGGCAAACAACGGTCTTTCTGCGAACAAGTGCGAATGATGTTTCCACTCTTTTGCCGTTGCCAATGACAATCTGCTATTTTTATAATATATTAGTATTATTAGAATATATTATTATATCTGAAGTACAGAGCTCCTGTTAGAATTCAGCTTGCTCCCTTGTATATATTACGTACATCACCTCAGTGCAGAGTATTTACATTTATTCAAGTGTTGTGCAAATCATGGCTTCTAAAAAAATAGAAAGGGGATTTCGATTGAAACAAAGCAAGACATCATCAGAAGGAGTGAAAGTTGACAAAAACTTCCTTGTCAAATGGGGAGAAGTTCAGGAGTTTACCAACACTCATTATTCAAACAGAGCCGAGGCCAACAGGATCAATGATCTCTACAACGACACCCTTGCCCATCATTTCCGACAGGTGTTGAAGAAGAAAGAGAAACAGACCACCTTGGACATGTTTTTCAAGAAGCAAGCTGCCAAAAAACAAAGGATGGAACAAGAGGAGATGACCCTGCAAGCTCCGCTAGCCTCTCCTGAAT